ATGCCATGTGACAGGCCTTTCGGGTCTCACAATATATTGAATGAAAAAAAAAATGTTAAGATATTCTAATTCAAAATTAAAAATAATATATTTTACATAATATAATTTAAAAACAAAAATATAATACATTTTAAAGTTAATAAGAATATATATAAATCATAAGTTTTGTCACTTAAGACATCCAATGCATGTTATGGGAGATTCATCTATAACAAAAGCTTGAGGTGCTAATTCTCTTCCCTGAAAACAATCTATCACTTTAATTTTATCTTTGACACCTTTTTTGACTTTTTCAAATTTTCAGAGATCAGATATTCATGGATTTTATAGTTTTTCTGTATAGGATTTATATTTTACATTTATATCAATTTATAATTTCTCTAGTTTTGCTACTAAAGTCTTCTTATTTAGATAACTTTGTTGATGATAAAAGAAAAACTAACCAAAATCCATTTATAAAATACAATACTGACATTTATGATGTATATTGATATAAAACACAATATTTACTACTACATAAGTGCACTTGCTGTAATAATGCAAGAAATTTAAGATACTAATGGAACTTAGGGTAGTATCCACTAGCCTGGTGTAACAGTCAAGAACATGAATTGCAATAGATAGTATTTAAAATTAAAAAAATTATTTAATCGTCTCATTCTGTTGTTTTGTTGTATTTGTTAAAACTTCTGCAAATATGCAAATTTTATCTTCATGAATATGAAAAATGGTTGCAAAAGTTAAACAGCAAGTATGCATGAATACAAAGCTTCTACTGTCCAGTTACAATGTTATGTTAATCTAGTATAATTAAATATATTAAAGCCAGGACCTAAACCTGTGGCTCACAGCATATTTATATGGCTTGCGTTTTATTTCACTGACATGTTTTATCATTAATATTTGAATAGTTCAAAGTAAATAAACTTGAAAATCAACTAGAACTAATAGACCTTACTGCAAATGAAAGGTTGTAGATTTCTGTATTAAATATATAAATTTTTAGTAATAAAACTTATTCAGAAAATGATATTTTATTAAATTTTATTTATTTATTCAATAATTGATTGTATTACATACCGTATATTTCTATTATAGGTTTAGGAAATCCAATTGATATGATGTATCATATGCAGCCATGGATGATATTAGGTTTGTTGCCACTTTCTATTGCCTTTGAAGGTAATTTGCTTTAACAACAATTAAAAATTATATAATTTTTATTTTAAATTTATTTTGATAAATTGAATTGAGATTTTCTGATATATAATAAATTTTTAAAATTTATAACATTGAATTTTAGCTATGTAAATTGTATAAATTAAGATTATACAATTTACACAGCAAAAATTCAATATAAAGCAGATATAATAATAATTTTTATTAATAAAATCTTATTAATTTTTGAATTTGTAGATATTTTGTCATTAATTCTAATTATGTAACTAATTGCTACTGCAAATAAAATAGCCCTTGTATATATTATACACTGGATAATCAAATGAAATGGGACTTGCAAGAAGTAGGTTACTATACATCCTCTTATGTGGACACATCTTAATTTTGAGGGTAAAAATTTCTGTTCACACACATTTTTGTGAATTTCTTGCTTTGTTTGCATTTTTAGTGATTGTACATTTTTTCATTATTCTTGCAGTATCTATATAAAAATGAGGTATTTTTTTCTATTGGTAACAGCACAATGTTGAATTCAGGATATTTACTATTGATAACATTTAAAATACTATAATAGCAAATGTTTTTAGTTATTTATTTTGAGATGAAATTTGATTCTTTTCATACCTGTATGAATGGAAGTGTAAATTTATTTGGTTTTAGATAAATGCTTAAAGATGACATTGAATTTCCTTTTAATTGCAGCTGAATGTTTTGCCTCAGATATTTTTTTGCTTATTACAACTTGTTTTGTTACACAGATTTTGTGGACTGCATTTAATAAAAAGTTTCTAAACATAAACTTTATAGGTACAGACGATTTTGCATAAATTGTTACCTTAATTTTTTGGTAATTTCACTATGTAACTTTTTGTGCAATTTTCTATGCAAAAAGTCTCCTTTCTATAATATAAAGCAGTGATTCTCAACCAGGGGTACAACTTGGTAGTTTAGGGGTATGTGAAGAAAAATTGATAATGACGGATGTATTATAAGAATATTCAGATTCTTCATTGAGGACATTGACAAAGTCATATAACTTGAATTCAATAAATTGATCTTCTGAGTTTTAAATACATATATACAATTTATTATTAGTTTCTTTTTTATTAACCAACTTCAAAGAGCAATGGTGTGATAAATAGAAAAGTACAGTGTAGGGCCATTAAGCCACGGGCCAGTAATTTGTGAATTTGCTTAAGTTGCTCAGAAAGCTTGGATTCCAATATTTTGACACTTTGGATCGTACGGACCTCGACATGGCCTCTCAAACCCTCGAGACAGGTGTTGTTGACAATTGTCATTTTGGCATTTCGAATGTCTGTGATTGACGTGCTATGCACTATTGTAGATTAAATATTTAAATGCTGGCTTATAACTTCAAAGAGGTGTTTATAAAAGATTAGTCTTTTATTTATCAGTAAACAATAAAATAACTTACAATGAAATTCAAATACAGTATTAATCTGTTTTATCCATGCTGAGTGTCAGCATTATGGAGGTCGCCATTGTAACCAATTCACACCTTACAATGCTACAAAGTTAATCCGCGGTAAATCCGTGGACCACCTAAGCCACGGTTAAGCAGTTTGGACCCCAATCACCACGGCTTAATGGCCCTACACTGTACAGTACATAGAATACTGAGCACAAAACATTTGTATCTATACAGATAACCTTTTATTCTTCAACAATTCAGTGCCCTGTGTACCTTCCTTGCCACATCACTCTATTCATTTACAGTTACGATAAGTTTAAAATACAACTATATAAAGTCCAAATATTTTTCTGATGCAGTGGTGTGCGGTGACATTTGATGATAGAAAAGCTGTGCCAGCACTGGATAGAATCATTGGAAGCATTATATGATATTTTGGTGTATAGCATCCACCAGCTAAACCATGTGAGGTTGCTCTGTAAAGTGCTTGCATGAGTGTGTATAATCTGTCTGCTTTACATGATTCAAATATTTTTGCCAATGAAGTATCCAGTATTTGACAATATAGCGCTTCCATTGGGAATATGCATATATGAATTTATATTTGAATACACAATAACAGTCTTATCATTTTTTTCACATGTAGTATAGAAATTTGTAATAAGATACATAAGGTGGTTATAATAAAATATTAATTTTAATTAATTCAAAGTCATTAAAATATGAAAATAATTGCACAATAAGTATTTATATTTTAGAAAATACAAGGGAAGTGGTGCTTCCACAGCTTCCATGGATGATACGCCACTGTTCTAATGTAAGGGGGGTACAATTTAGGAAAATGGGCTGCCAAGGGGTATACAAGTCAAGGAAAGGTTGGAAACTGCCTGTATAAAGCATTTCAATTATGCACTTAAACTTAATTTAAATAACAACAATAGGTAATCTCTCATTTGAGTTGATGTATGATGAATCAGTCAGATGCCACCAACTTTCAGTGTCTTTAGTTTCCTCATCTTACATTTTACAAGTAAACTTTTCAGTTGATTGATCACCCAATATATAAAGGATTTAATATACAGTAGAAATATATAGTTTATATATATAGCATATATATAGTAGAAATATATAATATATAGTTTTATCTGAAAACTCAGATAAAACAGATGACAATAGCCATTTTGGATTTAAAATTACAAATATAAAAGATTTATATGGTATATCACTTTTAAGACTGTTTTTGTCTTAATGAATTTAATCATATTTAAGAACAACAATTTTTACATCATACAATAGTTAATACATACAGCTAATACATACAATAATTTTAAGAATAAAAATGTGTATTATTGGGCTGCAATTTGAAAAAACTGTAGACCTATAAATTTCCATTGTCAGTTGTGTGTCTGCCTGTCTGTCTTTACTTAATCTCAAGAACAGAGTTTGCTAGATGAAAGTTTAGACCAGAAAGCTTAGGAGTAGGAGGCCCAGATTAACTATATATGAACTTCCAGTGCAAATTGGAAATCATGTTATTTCAACTCAAAAATTTTCCCTGAAAGGAGTTAGCTAGATGACTGAAACAACTCTTTTCTAACAGGAAAAGTATGATTTACAGACACTACTAAAAAAATTGAGAACATTTGTGACAAAAAATTGCAACTTGGCATTGTAACGATGTTACAATAAATAATTGTTGCAGTTACATTTTAGTATGAATGATATGTCTTACATTGAAGTTAAATGATAGAAGGTAACAGATACAAATCATTTTGTAATCCATTATCATTTTAAGCTTTTTTATGAATTATAATATAAGAGAACATTTGATTTGCTATTGGCATTGAAATTTTTCTATGTTGACTATTTTGAGCAAAACTTGACTTCTGGAAGTAGGTCATTCATATCACCATATGATGATGAAACTATTTAACAAAATTATTATGCAATGTGTGTTTTGTAAGCATAGAATTTTAGAGATTTTTGAAAAACATTAAGAATTCATTGTTTCTAAAAATATATAATGTTTTTCAAAAATCTTTAAAAATTCTATGCTTACAAAATATAGTTCAACCAGCAGAAAAGTTTTCTTTTACTTAATCTCTTCTGATGGTTGATTATGTAAAAGAAAAAGATCTCAGGCCAAGACATGAGAATTTCAGCACCAAATCAGTCATAAGAGAGACTAATGCCAAGTAAATTATGAATGTTATCAAAATAAAAAAGTTAACACAAACTTTTCTTCAATTCCTGTGGGAAATGTTGAAGTAAAATAATTGCTTATACTGACTACTTGTAAAAAATTTGAACATCGAGATTAGATATTTCTCTCAAGGAGTATAAAGGCACATTTATTATGTATTTGATAATAGACAACATATAAAATCATAGCGGCCTACAAAATGTAAAAAATTATTTTTACTTATAATCTTATTTTGTCCACTAGTATGTATTTTCTATTAACAGGACCTATTAAACTTTCTTTAAGGATATCTCAACTCAGTTTCACAGATTATAAAATTATTTTTTTATTTAATTTTATAATTTGTGAAATTGAGTTGCAGTATCTTTAAGGATACTGAAGCTCAGTTTAATAAGTCCTGTTAATAGAAAATACGTACTAGTGGACGAAATAAGATTATAATAAATTAAGGACATTGAGGCATATTAATTTAATTATTTCTACTTGCTGTGTACAGTGTACAATTATGTCTTCTAGGTATTTGAATACCGAATGGAATTGCACAAGAGACACATGAAACTTGCAACAAGTTCATTAAAATATTAAAAAACAGAGAAAAATTTTTTTAAACTGTATTTTTTGTAGTAAAACTGTTTGAAATATGTTCATCGTTCTTTGATATTTATATATTTTATGTGTATAATTAATCAATGATTGTTGTTGATCCCATAAAATATATAATCATTTTTGATTTCTACAAATATAATTTTTTCTTGTGTTATTAATTAATATATCATGTTAATATAATGTAAATTGAAATATGAATTTATTAAACTTAGACTCTATAATTTATTTCAAAAGTATGATCTGATGAAAGCTGATAAAGTATAATAGAATAGGTGTAAAGAATAAAGTACAAATCAAAATCTGAATTATATTCCATTTACATTAACTAAATTCTGCTGGATTTTTTTTTTGTCATAATTATGCTATTTTTTTAATTAAATTTTTACAGTAATTTTGCTAAAGCTATAAGATGTCATCATTGTGTATAAATATCAATACAGTAGAACCCCTCTAGTCTGCCCTCGGCTAATCCGTTACTTCGGTTAATCCGACCGTGGTCGGAGTTGAGAAACTTGTCCCGACTCGTCAGTGACTCACCGTCCGTAGCGTTCTTCTGTGTTCGTTACAGTATATGTTTTACATTGTGTGTGTTTTCAACATGCCAGGAGTGAAACGTAAACACGTTACTCTTTCATTAAATGAAAAATTAGCAGTGTTACAAAGACTGGACAAAGGGAAGATTGTTTATTTTACTTTTTTCTGATAATCCAACCTTTTTTGCGTTCCGACCATACCCCCAGTCCCAAAGGTAACGGATTAGAGGAGTTCTACTGTAATTAAAAATCAATTAATTAAGTTTAAAATTAATTTCTGAATATTATTTATACAAGATTGTCTGCTTACTTTTAGATCAAATTGATAATGATAATTTAATCAAAAACAGTATAATTATAACCAAGAAAAAAAGTATATTAAAATATGAATAAGTTTCAAACAATTACAGCAGACTATCTATAACTTTTTTCTTCTTACAACTGCACTGTTTATTAGAGTACACTTGCTGTTAGAGGACAACTATTATTTCTATTCTTTGGAAATTTGGTGCAAGTAATCATTTCAGAGTGACTATTAATGTAATAAATCTGGTAATTTTTTATTTATGAATTATTATTATTATTATTTGAACAATGGCACAACACTTAACACTCTCATTATAATATACAGTAAGAGTAGCAATGCTGAATTGAATGCAATTTTTGAGTTTACAATAAGCTCTATCTTTTTGCAATAGACAGCTCTCTTACTATTACAGAGTGCTGCCTATAACTTTTTCATCTAGTTGTGCTGTTTATTAGAATAAATCTAGTATTTAAAGAAAAATCACTAGCAAATGGTAACATTATTCAATTTTAATGTTTTCTGAAACAATTTAGTAAATATAGTGATAAGATTACAAGTTTAGATAATTGCATTAATAACTAATATTAAGATTATGATTAAAATTGTTTACCTTATCACTTTTTGTAATATGATATGAAATAATTATAGGTATTCCAATTTCAACTTCAGAAAAAGTATTTCGTTACCGTGATGTAGCAGTTGTAACAAGAACTTTGACATGTGTTTTTGTAGGATCAATGCTTGCTTTTTTAATGGAATTAACAGAATATTTACTGCTAAGGTATACTTCAAGTTTAACTCTGTCTATAACAGGAATAATAAAGGTATAAATTAATGTTCCAGAATAATTAAGTTGTATTTTTATTCATTTTTATATTTACTAATTTTTTAATTTTTCTTTAATTAGGAAATATTTACATTATATTTAGCAATACATTATAATGGTGATTCCATGACGACAATGAATTATATTGGTCTGGTTATTTGTGTATTAGGTATAGGAACACATGTATTCTTAAAAGCTCTTCATGTTTCAGGTTAGATAATTAATTAATTAATAATATACTAATTAATTTGATTTATATATTTAATAAATAAATTATAAGAAAATATAAATTTTTTATATAATATACAAAAAGTCAATATATAAAGCTATGCATTATTATAGTTTATATGAGATTTTAAAAAATTCTTATATTTTGTGATAAAATTCAAAATGAAATGAAATTTGTTCAAATTTTTATTTATTTTCTACAGAAGCTTTATGAATCTTTCTGATTGTCATGTTTAAACATTTGTAATATTTCATATTTTAACATATTAAAAATGAATTAACACTTAAATTTTGTTTAAGTATTTTATACTTAAATAAAATTATCTAAAACTACAGAAAAATATTAATTAATACTATAAGATCTAAAGTTGAGAGATGTTTGTTTTGTATAAAAATCTTATGAGTGATTTTCTGTAGTATATGATGTATTGATCATAAAACGTGTATTTTTTACTATATGTTAAACACTTTTGTTGATTATCAAACACTGTATACACTACCTCTTAGTTTTATACATACTTTTTTACAGTTCTTACCTATTTTCATGACAATAAAAAATTCTTGTTTAATTTGTTGTATAAGACTAATTTATAATGATAAAATTACAGATAAAATTACATTAATTTAATTATATTATCTGGAAACTTGTAATTAAAACCAAATTAGTAGTTTAATTTAAAAGTCATATAGAAAACCAAGCCCAAGTTATCAAGAGTTATGGCAGTGACTCTGTGCCAAGTAAAAAAATTACTGACTGTTTATTTATACAGGATGCAGACCTGCTGATTTTGAAGGTGATTTCTCTGCCTTCCAACACCTACAATAAGTCTGAATATCTTGCTTGAAAGATACTTGTTTTCTTAGGTAGTATGCAAAATTTCCAGATTTTCTATAAAAGGTTGTTGAAATATAAACAATTGAAAAGAGCAAAAATTGTCAAAAAAGCTGTGTTTTCTTTCTCTTCTTCTTCACCAAGCACTGCAGATTCTCATAGAGAAAAAAACTACTGGGTTTATAAAGCTCAAATTTTAAACTTAAGCCTTTCTCGTTGTTTGTGAGATGCTGGCAAAACTTTTGAGTCAATAGGTCAAAGTTCACTGGGGCTCCCCATAGATCTGTTTCACTTTTATGGCTTAATTCTGCAGTGCTGGATGAAGAAAAATAAAATAGCTTTTTGGCAACTTTTGCACTTTTCAATTGCTTATATTTCAGCAGCCCTTTCATAGAAAATCTGGAAATTATGCATACTATCTAAGAAAACAAGTTTGTTTCAAATGAGTTATTCGGGACTTGCTATAGGCATTTGGGGGCAGAAAAATCAACCTCCAAAAATCAGCAACTCTTGATTCCTATATATATAGTCAGTCGGTGACTTTTTCACTTAGTGTGGAATCACTGCTGTGACTCTCGATACTTTTATTAATTTTATCCNGTATATGATTACAAATGAATCGTACAATCAAAGAAAAAAACAAAAAACAAAAATAAGGTCAACAGGTTGCGCACGATATCCCCGAACGGCGAGTCGATTCGCGTACTATCCGGATGGATGGTAATACTATTGCCGTGCTCATTTCAATCAGTCCGAGTCGTAGGTGGACGAAAATATGAAATAAAATGGTTCAAATTCTTACAAGATATTATTATTATTTATTGTGAAATTTTGCCGCCCCCTAAAAAATGCCGCCCTGGGCGGGCCGCCCCTGCCGCCCCCCCCTTCGCTACGCTAGTGCTTGTGGCCCAAAACTCCTTGACTTCTTCCAATGAGGCCCAGAGAAACAAAAAGGTTGGACACCCCTGTTGTATATAAAACAACATTCAAAATTTGAATTTTAACATTTAATATGCTAAAAATAGAATAAAAATAAATGTATTCTGTTCACATTTATTCTATTTTTAGTATGTTAAATGTTAAAATTTCAAATTTTTGAATGCTGTTCTATAAATACTGTTCTTTATATATAGATCAGAACTGATGACTTAAAGCGAAATTTAAAATATTTTCTTAATAAATTTAGCTTCACTTGTTTTAGACAAGCAGTAGTGTTTTGCCTTTTTATTTTGTATATTAAATTTCTTTAAATTTTTTATACATTCTTTCTTATAAAACAATATTTATATGAGTTTTTAATAATTATAATTAAAATAAGTAATACAGAGTGGTACAAAAAGAATTGAATACTTACAAAAATTTATTATTTCATAACTAAGTTTTTTGTCAACATATAGTATTTATCAAAATGTAGAGCAACTTAATGTAAAAGCAGTTATATAATGATGAAAAGTTATCATACCTTCAAGTTTCACCAGTCATTTTTAATGACAAATGTTTTCGGTCAGATGAACTGGCCTCTCTCATATTACATCAAACAAAGATGAATAAATTGTAAATTCAAGCATTATAAATATTTATGAATGTGAAATGTATAAAACAGAATGCTAAAGTTACAAATTCAAAATTAAAGAACATAAACAGTCATAATGATTTTACAGTAGTTAATGTAAGAACTTGAAGGTGTGACAGTATATAATTTGTTTTCATTTAGTTTGGTAATCATTTATCATATAATTGCTCAATATGCACCCCTCATGACATACAGCATGAGTTAACCCTGTAGTCTAATCCATCTCAGACCCATTGTAGAATATCATGATTATTGGAAGTCTTCTATGATTTGCTTTTCTAGGACATTGAGCTCTACTTCACTTCCATATGAGATCCAAAATCTTAATTAATATCTGCAACAGCACTTGATTTAGCATTCTATCTAAAATATTATCATACTTCTGGAAAGTTGTCATTCAGCTCCCTAGATATCATACTAATTTTTTTAAAACTTTTTTCTTGTGTTGGGAAGGATCTTGGTTTCATATCACCTCTTCCATGCAGGCTAACAAAAATGAAGGAATACATCACATGGACTGTTGTATCAGACATAAACAATAATATCCTACAAAGGTTCTAACAAATAAGATGAATTAGACTATAAGATTGTTCTATGCCATGTGACAAGGAGGCACTTATTTTCTAATTGTAAAATTAAGGAAAACTGAAATTTTCTTTACAATTTGGCACATACTATATATTTATATAAAACTTAATTACAGAATAATTAATTTTTGAAAGCATTTAATTATTTTGAACACTCTGTATAACAATATAATATAACTATATGCATATATACAAGTATAAAGGATGGTAATAACAGAGTTTCTCAAGCAATTATTATAAAAACTAATAGAGCAATCACTGTGGACCTTTGCCAATGCATTGTGTGTTGGGTATGGCTGACTCTGCAGTTAGGTTTCAACCATCTTTTCTATGACTGATAAAAGACTTATTGGATTGTATTTGTTTTCAGTAGCTGAGAGGTCATCGCATTTTTTCAATAGGCAGATCTTAGCTTCTTCTTAGCAATTAGAGAAATGGAAGCATTTTAGGCAAATATTATACAGCAGGAGAAAGTAATCTTTTAACAAGGGATAAGCTTTTCCGTAGCACAATTGCACTTATTCCATCCTGTCCTGGTACTTTACTAGCAGTCAGAATACGCCGTTATTTTAGTTCAAGTTTAGTTATTCTGGAAAAATCAAAGTAGTCAACAAGTCAATTTCACCGCATTTTTGTGTATTTCTGTCTGGAGAGCAGTGCATGTGTTTAAATAGTCTTGAGGAAAGAGATTCTTAGCTATATCTTCTTGATGCTTGATTCTGACAGCTTGTAATCAACATAAAGCATTTCTGGTTTAGACTTAGTAATAGTATTCAAATCATTCTCATTATTTCCTTGACTCTAGTTTCATTTTTCTGTTTTTCAATATGAAATTGAGATTAAAAGAATACTGATATTGTTTATGAATTTTTAGAAAACTGTGATAATAAAAATAAATATTAACTTAGTAGTTGAGTTTTTCAAGTCTTTTCAAAACATATGAATGCTGCAACAAATGCATTCAGCTCTAGAGATAAGAGAGTTTTTTAAATATTTTTTTTGATTTGAACTGTCTCATTACTTTTTTGCCTCACTATATATTACTTAACATGTACTTTAAAATTCAGAATATATTNCCGGACGGCGAGTCGATTCGCGGACTATCCGGATGGATGGTAATACTATTGCCGTGCTCATTTCAATCAGTCCGAGTCGTAGGTGGACGAAAATATGAAATAAAATGGTTCAAATTCTTACAAGATATTATTATTATTTATTGTGAAATTTTGCCGCCCCCTAAAAAATGCCGCCCTGGGCGGGCCGCCCCTGCCGCCCCCCCCTTCGCTACGCTAGTGCTTGTGGCCCAAAACTCCTTGACTTCTTCCAATGAGGCCCAGAGAAACAAAAAGGTTGGACACCCCTGTTGTATATAAAACAACATTCAAAATTTGAATTTTAACATTTAATATGCTAAAAATAGAATAAAAATAAATGTATTCTGTTCACATTTATTCTATTTTTAGTATGTTAAATGTTAAAATTTCAAATTTTTGAGTGCTGTTCTATAAATACTGTTCTTTATATATAGATCAGAACTGATGACTTAAAGCGAAATTTAAAATATTTTCTTAATAAATTTAGCTTCACTTGTTTTAGACAAGCAGTAGTGTTTTGCCTTTTTATTTTGTATATTAAATTTCTTTAAATTTTTTATACATTCTTTCTTATAAAACAATGTTTATATGTGTTTTTAATAGTTATAATTAAAATAAATAATAGAATGGTATGAAAAGAATTGAATACTTACAAAAATTTATTATTTCATAACTAAGTTTTTTGTCAACATATAGTATTTATCAAAATGTAGAAGTACTTAATGTAAAAGCAGTTATATAATGATGAAAAGTTATCATACCTTCAAGTTTCACCAGTCATTTTTAATGACAAATGTTTTCGGTCAGATGAACTGGCCTCTCTCATATTACATCAAACAAAGATGAATAAATTGTAAATTCAAGCATTATAAATATTTATGAATGTGAAATGTATAAAACAGAATGCTAAAGTTATAAATTCAAAATTAAAGAACATAAACAGTCATAATGATTTTACAGTATTTAATGTAGGAACTTGAAGGTGTGACAGTGTATAATTTGTTTTCATTTGGTTTGGTAATCATTTATCATATAATTGCTCAATATGCACCCCTCATGACATACAGCATGAGTTAACCCTGTAGTCTAATCCATCTCAGACCCATTGTAGAATATCATGATTATTGGAAGTCTTCTATGATTTGCTTTTCTAGGACATTGAGCTCTACTTCACTTCCATATGAGATCCAAAATCTTAATTAATATCTGCAACAGCACTTGATTTAGCATTCTATCTAAAATATTATCATACTTCTGGAAAGTTGTTATTCAGCTCCCTAGATATCACACTAATTTTTTTAAAACTTTTTTGTTGTGTTGGGAAGGATCTTGGTTTCATATCACCTCTTCCATGCAGGCTAACAAAAATGAAGGAATGCATCACATGGACTGTTGTATCAGACATAAACAATAATATCCTACAAGGGTTCTAACAAATGAGATGAATTAGACTATAAGATTGTTCTGTGCCATGTGACAAGGAGGCACTTATTTTCTAATTGTAAAATTAAGGAAAACTGAAATTTTCTTTACAGTTTGACACATACTATATATTTATATAAAACTTAATTACAGAATAATAAATTTTTGAAAGCATTTAATTATTTTGAACACTCTGTATAACAATATAATATAACTATATGCATATATACAAGTATACAGGATGGTAATAAAAGAGTTTCTCAAGCAATTATTATAAAAACTAATAGAGCAATCACTGTGGACCTTTGCCGATGCATTATGTGTTGGGTATGGCTGACTCTGCAGTTAGGTTTCAATTAGAAGTGATATAGATATGCAAATGATCTGATTTAATAGAAAATATCAAATGCTAGTAAATAACTTAAAACTAATCCCTCAGTCAACCACTCTGCATTGCAATTATGTTAAACAGTGCATCTCTGTTTCTTGTATGTTCTGCAGTGAGGCATTTATCTGTCATATTTGATGACAGGTAAATCCCTCACTGAAATCCCAAGTTATAGCATGTATCTTTCACAAATGTGTGTATCTCTAATATCAAGTTGTAGAGTATCTTTCACATGCCACAACTTCATAATTGACAATTTTTCACTATTTTCATTAGAGGCTAAGACTACAACAGCTCTCTCCAGTAGAAGGGATGGAAATTCACACCATTATTTAGCACATTTCCTGACATATTATTGGCAAAGGGTTTACAGTAATTGCACTATTATTTTTTGAAATAATTGGCTGGAGAGAGGCTTTTGTTATCACCCTGTATATAAGTTTGTTATTTTTATATTTTCAACTAGTATCACATTTAATTAAGATTAATCCTATTTAATAAGATTCATGTAATGAATTTTTAAAATGATTAAATCAAAATAGTTAACATAAACTTAGTTTATAAATATTAACTATTTGAAATAATAGGACAGAAATGAGAGGTTTGCATGATTTGTTTTATAGTTTTAATTATGTAAAACTTTAAATAATAATAATAATAATAATTTAAAATTGAATTGAATTTTGCATGTATTAAAAATATTTTGTTATATTATATTACTTAGAATGATATTTGCATGTTAATTTAATAAATAGCTTTGCATTGAATTGCTTCTTCCATTTCTGTCCTTGTTTCTCAATCTAGGCAGTGGCATGACTTTCTCATATATAAGGAACAGACTGTCTTCATGCTTCATAATTATCTTTAATCTTCTGCCATCCACAAATTTTCAGGTATCTGCTTTGATTTCATTTAATATAAAATTTATTTTTATAAAATTGTTCATAACAATTAATATTTCTAAGTCAGATTAAAAAAGTAACAACACAGCATGAGATTATTTCTGCTTTTTGAAAGAAATAATGTGTTTAATTGGATATTTATAGTTGAAAACTAATGACTAAGTTATTTTGTTCTATTACAACTTTTTATTTTTGTTTTTTTGCCATTTTATTTATGTGGGTGAGCAGGGGAATAAAGACTAAGCAGTATTTATACCTTTAATTTAAATTAAGCTTAGGAAAAGAATAAAATTTATGCTTGACCCATTGATCACAAGAAAGATTATGTGATTTATTAATCGTGTGATCTTTTTCATGATATATGAATACATTGAAAATTGTAAAACCATTCACAGTTTGCAATAGGTGCCACTAACCTTTGCTGTTGCATAATCTAGTCACATGTAATACATTAAGTGAGTTTTTTTGAGATGCATAAGACATATTACCAGTGATGAAGCTGAAATGTTAAACAATGTGCTTATTAAAACATTCTTGTGAGATAACTTAAATAAAAGGTCATATTTAAGTACACCATATGACTGTTAAGTTCTAAATTATTTTTATTGAAAATATTCACATATGGCATATAGTGTGTATATAGTGCTTTTTCAGCTACGTTAAATAATGCATTACATTTACTGTATTTACTCGCATATAAGACGAGGTTTTTGTTCATTTATCACAGCTTCAAATTCCTAGATCATCCTATACATGTAAGCAAAAGATTCTTTGCATTTTTGCAAATAATTTTTTGTGAACCGTGTATTTGCATTTTTTACCGGATGCTTACTACCTTGTATTTAAAAACATAAGTATTTTATCTGGGCCATTTGAATCGTTCTTGTATATTGTCAGGAGTAAAGATGAATAGCAATAGGAAAACAAAGCTTTTGAATTGAATTCCAGATTGAAATTCCAAAATCACATGGGAGCACGATATAAGTTTTAATCCATTCCCATGTGAAAACAGATAATTATTCATAAATCAGAAATTGGAGAAATTCATAAGTGTAATCAACGGAGAGTGGATTTGACTGTTAAGAATTGGCAAAAAAAGTTTGTGATTGTCCAGCTTTACATGAACAAATTATGTTGTCAATTTTACAAGATTTTTCTTTAAAGTTTAAAGTGCCAGTAATTTTTGCAGGACAATGTGTGCATTTACATGCATTTGATACTTTACTTGTGATTAAATGAAATAAAATTAGAATTGTATTAATAAATGTAATTTTCTTTATTTTGATTCTTTAAAGTCACACCTCTTCCTATATGTGAGTAAATACAGTATTTTTCCAGGAACAATAATGTAGTGAATTCAATTGATTATTCCCCACAGATGGAATTGGAATGGAATTTGTATTGTTTATTGAACAGTATAGTAGACATGAATGATTACTTGCTATTTTAAATACTGTATTTCAAAACACACTATTTCATTTATTAAATCCAAAATTAAATCACAAATTACAATCAAATTTTTTTGTAAATACAGTAAGACCTCGATTAATGCTGATTCAATATAGCACAGTCTGCTCAAAGCCTAAAAAAAGCTCAAAATTTACATTGATTCAAATTATTGTGGCATTTTATTGATTCATATATAATACGATTATTTGCAAACACGAACCAATCAGCAAAAGGTGGCAATTTGTCGTAGTGCTGTACTTCCCTTAAATGTTTGTTTTTTTCAATTTTGGAAAAAATATATCATGGATGCCATAGGCAATATTGACTTCACTTGGCAAGAATTAACTGATAAATACATGAACAAAGTGCGGAAGAAGTTATGGCTGAAGGTATTCAATGAAGAATTCTTAACAAGAAGAGCCTATTGCTGTATCATTAGGTTTACCAAATTGTCAACCTAATCGATACAACAGGACTATGAGATGTAGACGAGCAGGATATTGAGGAGTTACTGCAGGTTTCTGATGAGAGCCTTACCAACGACGACCTTCAAGAACTGGCAGAACAAGGAATTCATGTGGAACTGGAAAATAGAGATCCTGAAAACAAAGAACCTAAAGAATTTCTCTATAGATTTCCTAAGTAAAAGTTTGGTAATAATAACAGAAATCGTTGATCAAATTGTAGCGAATGATTCAGATTCAGATTTTGAAAGGAGTGCAAAAGCAAAACAAGATGTTTTGGATGTGATCTTTTGCTACCGACATTTACTTAANTCACAGAATCCTAAGTTCTTGCAAACCTTTTTTGATTCACCATCAGGAGAAATCTTAGAATATTAATTTTGTGAAAACTTTTTCAAACATTATGTCCTTGTCTTCTAAGATTTCTTTCTGATGATGAATTTATAAATTTGAAAGTGCTTAAGATTTTGTGAATGTTTTTATCATTTAATGTCCTCCAATAAAACAGTGAAATAAAGTATTTTAAATATTTGGAGGTTATTTTGACTTTTATTAAAATTTTTGTGATGAAATTTGCACAAAATATAGGTAAAGTCAAAAATGTGTAGATGTGATTTTGAATGAAAAATTTACAGTAAATAAAAAAAACATTAAAAATTTGAGTATAAATTTTTAGAACATTCAGTACTGAGCTTAGTACAGGAAATCCTCATTAATTCAAACTCAGATAGTTCAAAATACCAATAGTTTGTAACTGTACTATTTGTCCTATTGTACTGTTTTCTATTCAGTAAGAGATTTACATGTTAATTAAGGAAATTTGGTTAGTTTGAAATATTCCTACTTTGAAATTTGAAGTAAAAATTCTCTCCCAACTATGATATATGAACGTTAAATCATTCATTTAGATTGAAGTTCTTCTATACTATAAGAGAACAAAGGATCAAGAACAACTCTAATCTAGTCGATATGGCTTTGCTTTTACCCAAAAACACATTTTTGGGTGTCACCTTACACATGGACAACTCTTTTTTTTCTCTTATCTCGTAAAGTACAGCTGGGTTTAGTATTGCAAGATTGGATTTATAAGTAACAGATTGAGATAATTTTAGGGCTCTAGGCTACTACATTTGTACTACATCTCAAGGAATTCTGCTTTACTTTTTGTAAAACCTATCTGGCAACCTGTGAGGTTTTCGCCAGACTTTCTGTTTACCTGTAGTTTATTTATATCATTAATTAACGAAAATAGCATTCTTGTTTGAAGCCTCAATTATTTCATCCCTTGAATTTTGAACTAACAAGAATTTCTTGTAATGACTAAAATAAATAAAAGGAGAAACTAATTTTACTTTTTTAATCTACTTATTGTAGTTAAACTTAACAAAAACTTATCAAGCTGAAACTATTACTAATTAGTAACTGAAATATTGATGTCTAGAATTAAATAATGATTAAAACTAAAAAATAAATAAAAAACATTATAATTAGTCACACGTGTTGTATCACTTTATTGAGAACTTTATAATCATTTGAATGTTGTTACATACAAACATAGCTATATGAACATAGAATTTCATTTATAGACAAGGCTAGCCTCACTGCTATCAAATGCTGTTTACTGTGCCAATTTTCCCATTGGTCATGCATGTGAGATCTGCATGCAAGATGTGAGGATATCAAAAATTAACCTCAAGTTTCACATGCATGCCATCTATCAATTGGATGAATATTAAAACCATAATTTGTGAGTTTTCTTGGTCTATTCAATATGCTGAATTGAAATTTTCAATTTTGTGATAAACTTTGATATTTAGAAAGTGTAGGCTTTGCCTCAAAATCCTCTCAGATGCTTTACAACTATTATTACTGCTTAAATTTTTGGAACATGGTTACACATCTGATACTGATAACTGCTGTATTACCCTAAGGAAATTGAGAGAAATCATATGGAGAAATTGACATAGTACAATGTGCTCTTTCTTTTTATGCTAATGCTCTGCATATGGCACAAAAGATCAAAACATTCGTGGCATTTTAATGGGGACTGTTGTATTGTGTACCTTTTAGCCAAGATATTGTGCCAAGTAACTTTCACCTGTTTTTTACCTTAAAGGACATCTCATATTTCAGTTATGATGATGTGAAACATATAGCAAGACTGTAGCTGTCAAAGCAGGGATAATCCTTTTATGAGTCCAGTAGTATAACAATTTTGTTGTGCTCTGCGATGTCTTAATTGACAAGGAATTACTCAGAAAAGTAATATAGGTTGAACATTCTTTTATGTATTATGCCCATTTCTAAAATTAAGTTTGGTTTTTTATTTTATAAGGTTTTTGTAATTTTTTTTTTTTTATTAGTTCTCATGAATGCAAACTTAAATTTTAAATGTTTATTAGGAATACTTTAATTCTAAATGTTCTTGAATGTACAGATCTTTCTCCAGAAACAGCAAACCAATTTTATTTTAAAAACTTCCAAAACAAGTTTTCAATTAAAAATTCATGAGTTTTTAATTTTTCATTTATTTTACTTAATTTAACAAAATTTGAGTTAAAGTAAATAGAGTTGCTCTCTTCTAAGAGAGAATTTTATTAGAATTTTTGATTTTGACAACATCCAGAAAAAATATAAGTTGGAAATGGAATTCAAATCAACAATCCCAATATTTTGAGTTGGAATAAGATTTGAATGTAATCTGAAATGATCTTTTCAAAACTAATTATTAGAAGTTTTGATTTTGTAATTAATAATAAAGTATCACAAAATAATGGCACACACTATCTCTAGATCAAATTTCACTAGATTAATTGATTTTAAAAAATTAGATTGCTTGATGATTTCATTTTATGATCAACAAATTGTGTTAAACATAAATTCTGAATTTGTGCTATTTATCGCAATGTTTATACCACTGTAATAAATAACGTTTACCATAAGAATTGCAATTTTTGGCTTGTAAAAGTATGGAATAGTTGCATGTCTGCCCAATTAGGTTCAAAAGAAGAGTTTAAAACTATTTGTGCTAACTCACAGTCAGTAGTAGGTCTTCTATGGGACATGTCATTTTGATGT